GCCTTATTTTTCCACATTTCACCCAGAAAGGTTCAACACACACTACAAATTTTCCTTTTTATTTAGATTTTTTATTTATTATTATTATTATTAATTCTTTTATTTTATTTTTTAAGTTCTGACTTGGTTACAAAGTTAATTAAATGTCTTCCTTTTTGAATATATTTACAAGCAAAGTGCCTTTGGCCGTACAGAAAAGCATCAGATCTTTATACTTTCACCATTCAGTGACGCGCTTTTCTGTTCTGTATTCCCAATAGTGATGGGAAGTTCGGATCATTTTACCGACTCGGACCTTTGAGTCTCGTTCAGCAAAATGAACGAATCTTTTTTCGAGTCATTTCGTTCATTATAGCAAAATATAATTAAAATGTTACGCGTTACTTCCCTAACACGTCTACTACTCACGCAAACGTTGATCACACTAAACAATACAAAACTGCTATAAGAAACAGAAAAGATGAATTCATTGTTTACCTGGGTCTTCAGTCTATGATTAGCTCACCTCACCTCTTATCTGACAAGTCTTCGGGTTTGAGTCGTTCGTTCATCACGTGACAGCCCCATACACTTAACCAATGCAGTCTGAGCCGGAAAGAGAATTGATTAGTTCATCTCTCGAGTCTTCGGGTTTGAGTCGTTCGTTCATCACGTGACAGCCCCATACACTTAACCAATGCAGTCTGAGCCGGAAAGAGAATTGATTAGTTCATCTCTCGAGTCTTTCGAATCCTTCGTTTTTTTGTCACGTGACATGACAGCATTGGATAGAGAAATGAGTTAATTTACAAGCTTCCTTACAAACGGGTGCACAGTTATTATTATTATTATTATTATTATCATCATTATTATAATTAATATTTACTCTTACAGTTGAGTCGTTCGTTCATCACGTGACAGCCCCATACACTTAACCAATGCAGTCTGAGCCGGAAAGAGAATTGATTAGTTCATCTCTCGAGTCTTTCGAATCCTTCGTTTTTTTGTCACGTGACATGACAGCATTGGATAGAGAAATGAGTTAATTTACAAGCTTCCTTACAAACGGGTGCACAGTTATTATTATCATTATTATTTACTCTTACAGTTACGTGATGCATTTCTGGTCTCAAATTTGAGCTTTTTACTTCTTATAGTTTATAAATGTGTGAATTTCTGTCATGATGGTTTCCATAACACTGAATGTTGTAACAAAGGTAATAAAGAGTCTCTTTCCGGCTCAGTCTGCATAGGGTAAGCTTATGGGGCTGTCACGTGATGAACGAACGACTCGGAAAAACCCGAAGACTCGAGATGAACTAATCAATTCTCTTTCCGGCTCAGACTGCATTGGTTAAGCTTATGGGGCTGTCACGTGATGAAGGAACGACTTGAAAAACCCGAAGTCTCGAAACAGGTGAACTACTTGACTAATTCCAGTACAGAACCTATAGGATGTTGCGCATGCGCGACTGAACGAATCACTCCCCGAGACGACTCGTTCTTCCCGAGTCACATTAAAGATTCGTTCAAAATCCCATCACTAATTCCCAAAGTGTTATTTGTGTTCCTGCTATTACTGTATTTTCTGGATTTCTGGATCTTTAACAAGATGACACTTGTTGCAAGTTTAAAATCACCGGCAATGGTGCAAACTCACTGGAAATGTACAGCAGTAGCACTTGCAAGTGTTACGATGGCCAGTTGTGGTTTATTATTATTATTATTATTTGTACATATTCTGGCAGGAGATATTTGTCTATGGAATAAACATATTTTTATATGAGGCCAGAACATTAAGCAGAGAATGTTCACGCTTGGTTAACATGTGCTTTTTATCTGCTCATGTTCATTTTTTATATTTAGTTCTCAGGAGTTTGAAAGATTATTTTGTACATATTAGAGATATACAAATGATTGATGACTTGTTAATCATTTTGGAAATGAGGGACAGATGTTGCTTTGTTTTTGATGCCTTCTGTTTATAATAAAAAGTTCTTTTTGAACATGTCAAAGTGTTTGTGATTTTGATGTGGCATGTAACACTAATACGGTGATACGTTGTATACAATGTGTTTACAGTTTGATCCATTTGGTTATATTGGATCAAATATCGTAGTAGTTTAATTGAATAGTTCAGCCAGTAATTATTGACTTGCTTCATTCTGTCCATGTGGAACACGTAAGGATATATTTAGCTCAGTGTGCAAGCTGCACAGAACTTTGTATGAATACATCAATAATTAGTTTATTTTTCGCACTCAACGCTTGCTAAGTATTTAGAAGTGTCAAGTTTAAATGTGTACAAGAGTGAATGAGATTGAAAATCCCATTTTTATAAAGTATGTATTTTTTTCAATTAAAATAGCTAAAACTTACTTGAGAAGCAACAAATGAAGACTTATTTTTAGAGAATGTATTACTATTTTATGTATAAACAAGTTATAAATGAGAAAAATGTCAGTGCAGTAAAACAAAGTACAACTATAAAATGTTTTATTGTTCAACATATTGAGTTGCGTCGCATCTTTATATTAAAGGGGCAGTTATTTGTATAATGAATTATCAGAAGGATGACTTGACTATGTTAAAAAGACCATATCTTATAAGTATCTTAAGAGTTTACCATTTTAACCCTAGATATGTTCTCATTTCATTCAGAAAATATATATTTTTGTAAAAGTTATGACTCTTGAATGCATTTCCAATGACCTGGCAAAACTGTGTGAAATTTGACAGTTGTAAAGTTATTTAAAGTTAAGCATCTGATATTTATTCTTTTACCATTCAGTGACATTTCTCTTCTGTATTCCCATAGTTCAAACAGTAAGACAAAATACGCATATATTCAAGACAGAATCAATGTAAAAAAATTAATTATATATATATACAGGGGTGCACATAAGTTTTTCAGCCTGGAGATTTGGTTTGGTCCTCACACGGTACATGGTGTGACCCATCAAATATAACTATAAAAAATAAATTAATAATAGTGATAATATTATTGGACTTTTTTTATTTTTTAGAAAATAATAAACTAAATAATAAAGTGTGATAATACTATTTTATTTTAAAATAAAAAGGGAGTATTAAATACAAATACAATTATTTTATAATAAACTTAAAAATAAAATGCTAATATTTTTTATTATTGTTATTTTAAATTGAACCTTAATTATTATTTTTATTTACATTTTTCATTTTCAAACTTAAAATCTTTGTTTTGGTGGGTTGCCGGTGCAGCAAGGAAGTAAGTA